TTAGCATATTTTCCATCTATGCTTGCTCACATATGTTTGCCATGATCTTTATCTCATATATTTTCTATATGGCATTTTGATAGGGGGAGCTATTCCCTATTCTATGTTTGTTTTTATACTCACCTATGCTTATTGATAGGGGGAGCTTTCGCTCTGTTAATTCTTTTGTCCCCTTTTTGATGTTGTCAAAGGGGGAGAAATATTGTGAGTATATTCTTTCTTATTTATATGCATGATATATTATACATTGTATATTCATTTCCTTCATGCATATATTTCTTTTTGTAAATTGTTTGTCATCATCAAAAAGGGGGAGATTGTTGGCCTTCTTGTTTTGATGATGTTTAACAAACAATTTACCACTAATGTTGTTTGTCTAGTATTTGTGTTTTCCTATGTATTGTAGACAAACAACATAGTTGGAGGATGGATGGATTGCGCCATAACGACGATATCAAATGGAGGTTGGCGGAATTATGGAGTGAAGCAACATACAATTCAAGTTATAGATCAAGTTCAAGCTTCATCCGCAAAGTGTACCAAGTCAAGCTTATTGAAGATCAAGATCGGCTTGGGTAATCTAGTTTAGGTTTTATATTATGTGTGTTAAGTACCTTAAGCTCAATATCATATACACACACGTATTTGGTTTCTATGTATATATATAGTTATATATATACATGCATGATTTTGAGTTTTCATGTTTTGAACACTTTTGCAAAATAATGAGATTTCACAATTGGGAAATGCAAATTGGAAAATTCTTTTTGTAACATGTTCAAAATATCATTTGCAAACATTTCTCAAAGTTTCATCAAGTTTGGAATTGATTTGTTATGTTTAAAGGAATTTACAAATTCACGTTTTCGTTCGTGCACATGTTCGTGCATGTTTTACAAAACTGATGAGTTTTTACAAATGAGAAGTGATATTTGAAAAATTCTTTCTCTGACATGTTTATCTACATGTTTATAAACTTTCCTCCAGTTTTTACTATTTTTGGAGTTGATTTACTATGCCTAATTGATTTTACAAAATCTTGTATCACAGCAGATTTTCAGAAACTGTATTTTTGTGTTCAAACATTTATTTCTCTCAACTGGAAATGCTTTTTCAGAAATTCTTTCTCGGACATGTTATTATACATGTCTAGAACATTCTCACAAAATTTCATAATTTTTGGAGTTCATTTACTATTTTAAATTGATTTTACAAAACAGCTGCGCACTGCTACAGTAATCCGGTCGACCGTACCGGTCGACCGAAGTACTGTAGCATCCGACCGTTGCTACAGTAACAGCTAGTTCTGTTTTTTGTTTATTTTAATGTTTTGGGGGTGTTTTTATTGGTTTTTGGGGTTGTTTCATGAGCCTATATATACCCCATGCCCTCATACCTCTAAGGTAACTCAAGAAATGTTTTAAAAGAAAAGAAAAGTTTAAGCAAGGGTTTAGGGTTTTACTGTTTGTTTTGAGTTTGGGTTTCTGTTTACAAAGGAGGAAGTTTTCACTGCAGATTGAGGGATTCATTCTCAATCCCCTTCATCCTCTTCTTGTGTTCTTAGAGAAGTTTTCTAACTCTTTTCTCTAGCAATTTCATTATTGATTTTCATATTCTTATTATTGCTAGTTTGTTAATTGAGTTAGATTTTATTTTACTCATTGTTACACACACCCACATTGAGCTTATAGTATTTGCATACATAGTATAGTTGGGTGGTGAGAGATTGTAACATTGAGTTGTGCTACATTGTGTTCTCATCTATTGTAGAGAACAAATTTGTTGTATTTACTTTGTGAGTGTTGTAAGGTTCTCGGTGAGCTAGAAACCGAGTGTGTTGTGAAGTTTTTGGTGAACTAGAAAACCGAGTGTGAGGAGTGGACGTTGATCGGTGAACGTTGAAAACCGACATTGTGAGGGTGAGTGTGAACGTTGATCGGTGAGCGTTGAAAACCGACACTGTGAGGTGTAAACGTTATTCGACCCTAACCCCCCCCCCCCCCCTCTAGGGTCTAACAACCCTGTGCACATGTGCTTGCGGCTTCTTCCAATCAGCCAGGAGGTGCTAGAATTCCCTATAATCAATATTGCTCGCCTTGATATTCAACAGTTTACTATCAAAAGACATATAGTGAGAGTTTTCATCCCCCTGGTGACAGTGGGTATTGGCCTGAATATAATTGATCACGTCTAATTTCACCTTAATACAAGAGACAAGCAGGTTGATCGCGATCTGTGCAAATTAGGGGAACCATGGATCAAGGGCGAGAAGGAGTTGTCAAGCATAAAAAATATAGTCTTTGCAAACAACCGGGACATACTCGACCTCGTTGTCCAGCTAGACCCAATAGATAGCAACTAATTGGTAATAATTAACATGTTCAAATTTTAATATATTTTAATGAAGAAAATGTAGCTAGTAAATGATTGGTTATTGATATGTGTATAATTGTATGTGCATGTATCTACACCATGCAACCTGGGCCGGTTAGTGGTGAGGTTCTATATGATCAGCCTCAATACCGTTCACATATTATATCCTTTACAGAGGTAATTAAGTTTCTTATAATTGCATAAAGTTATCATTGCAATATTTGCATTCTTATAATATTGCATTCTTATACTCTCATTTGCTCTACAGAGAGGCCCGAATATCGCTATGGTTGATCATAGCCTCGGCTATAGCCGTTGGCGGCTAGAGGATGAGCGTATCATAGCAGTTGTAGGACAAGCTGGCTTTTTGACATGTGCAAAGCTTCGACGGATGAAGCTCGATTGGCCACTCCTCACTGCTTTGATAGATAGATGGAGATCGGAGACCAATATTTTTCACTTTCGAATGGGTGAGTCTACCATTACTCTACATGATGTAGCTATGATACTCAGTCTCCGCATAGATGGCATGTGCGTTACCGACAGTGATAGAGCTTATTGGCCTGACGTGTGTGAGAGGATGTTAGGTGTAGCTACCGAGCCAATGCTGTGAGGATATATTAAATTGAAGTGGTTGAGAAAGACATTCTCGGTATCGTTGCCTACATTGATTGAGCAACACGCACGTGCGTATATTATACACATAATCGGTTCTATATTATTTTCAGATTCGACTAAAGATAAAGTGCATGCGAGGTATGTGTTCTTATAATTTGAAACCGTATTTCATTGAAATATCTTATTGTCCTAAAATGAAATGTTGTGAATATGCAAGGTGGTTACCGCTAATCGAGGACTTGGACTCATGCGGTGCATTGTCGTGGGTAGTGTCATTTTGGCGTATGTATATATAGAGATGTCCATATTATAGAAGAGCTTTTTGCAAGTATGGACATGGGAGAGACTTCATTTGAAGCCGAGACAATGTGTGAATCTACAATTAGATGGACAAATTCCACTAGGATGCAGGTATTATATGTTTTAGTATAACAAATATAATTGTAGTTATCATTGCGGTACTAAATTTTTACAACAACACACACAGATGAAATGTGCAAAAATGTTATGACGAGACCCGGGCTAGGCAATTAAATTTCTATCGAAATGAGCTTGACCGTATGAAGATATTTCAGGTATCATTTCCATAAAAATGATATGCAACAATTATATATATATATATATATATAATTATATGAAATACTCTGTAGATGGAATGGGAGCCCTACACCCAATTTCTCAATCAACTACCCCCCGTATGCACTGAATACCCAGTTACATGGAGAGCCAGAGTTCCTCTAATATGTTTTGAGATAGTATAAATACATGTACCAGATCGCATACTTCGATAATTTGGTCTTGCACAACATATTCCAAAATTTGTTGAGAAAATAGAGAGGAAGGTAAAGAAAGGAGGCCAACAAATCGACTGGGCAGTTAAGTATCAAAATTATATACATAGATGGAATGATAGGTATTTTTGTATTGTTGAGCAAATTGAACAAACTCCTCAGGAATCAGATTACTACACTTGGTATTGGGGATAACCCGAAGATGGATACTCCATGTAACCACAGCACCGGTTGAGTTGCAAAAAGAATATGTGCCTCGGGGTATAGATTAAAGAGAATTAGTAAGTATTTTTATATTTTGATTTAAGTCCATTTTTATTAGTATTTCTCAATAATGTTAACATGTATTTTTTGACAAATTTGCAAGTATCAGCAATAGATAAATATTCAAACGATAGCAAATCGTGGCATAGAATTGGCTCGAGCAAGTAATATAGAAATAAATATCAAATTTACTTGTTCAAATTTTGAATTTTAAATTATTTTTTTATCTCACGGGAACATATCCTGAAGCACATGAACATGTATCCATATATCAGTCAATAATTCGGAGGCTTCACCAAGCATTACACCAAACTCACAAAGATCTTCATGATGGACGAGAGGTAACATAATTCATATACACACGTCAACCACGACAAAGACGAGGACGACAAAGAAACAACAATGAAGCTGGACCTTCCCAACGTTTTGACGATGGAGCTGGGACGTCACAACCACAAACGCAACCGGATCAGGAACTCGTCGAAGGTCGAGATGGAGGAGGACAAAGACAAAGGAGGAGCCATAGAGTTCTTGGATGTATGTAAACTAATCATTATTATTATTTACATTACAAACCTATTTCGGGCTGTGAGATGGTTTTTAGATTTGTAGCCAAGATTATGGTGTGATTTGTTGGACTTGTAATTGGTTTGTGGTATGATTTGTTAGATTTGTTGGACTTATAATTGGTTTATGGTGTTATATGAGTTACACAGAGAATTGGCAGGAAAAACAAAAAAGAATGTGCACAAAAACGTGTACAGAATATGTTCGGGACTACTAGTCCCAAACGCTTGATGTTGAGCCCCGAATGGCTCTTAAAAGTCGACACTAGTAGTCTCGACTTTTAAGCAGAGCCCATCACGGCTCAACATCAAGTGTTCGAGACTAGTAGTCCCAAACACTTTATGTTGAGCCACAAGAGGCTCTGCTTAAAAGTCAGGACTACTAGTCCCGACTTTTAAGCAGAGCTAAATCGAGCTCAACACCAAGTGTACGAGACTAGTAGTCCCGTACACTTCGAAAAAACTTTACTGCTGCAAAACCGATCCTTTTCAGGGGAAAAAAGGCCGATTTTGCTCATTAAAAATCTAAATGGTCGATTTTGCTTAATAAATTTTAAAAAGGGGCTTCTTTTAAAAATTGTCCATATAAATAAGGTCGATAACAAAGAATGAATCTCCTTGTAATTACTTGACTGAGATTTAGTCACATAATCGTATAAAGAGAACCTTCTTGCATGTCAAATGACATTCGTTGTTCTCAAGTATGAATATATAATATAAATATTATTAGAAACACGACATACAACAAGGCAAAATATGCATATCGTGACTATTAATCAAAATTAGAAGAATACCTAGAATGATTTCCAATCCTCCACGATATCATCTCCTAAGAACTAACTGAAAAGATCTTCCTCAAGAGAAAATGCTCCAACTGAAGTTCATCGGTCATTGAAGATGAGCAATATTGAGAGCTAGGTTCTCAACTTTTTATTTTTCTCTATTCTATTCTTCATCTTATTTTCATAAGAATTTTTTTTGTATCTTCATAAACTACTTATGAACCTTATATATAGGATCAGACTAGCCTTATAGATTTTAATTTCAAACAATTTATATGTATTCAAAACTTTATCTAAAATAATTAAAAATAGAATAGAATTATTTAAAAACTCCATCCATAATAATTAAAAATAGAATAGAATTTACATTGCATGTAAATCTCTTCTAATGACATCAGTGAGACCAAATGGGTCCCACGCCGAGAACCAATTATTAGTTTAATTAATAATTTTAATTTAGTAGTTAAATCTATATGCGCCAACTGTTCATAAAAGCTCTTCTATAATATGGAGTTAATTGTTTATAAATAATATCTCACATTCAGTTCCCTCCAGTGTTATTTATTTTAGACAACTCTTTTGAGCAGGAGAGTTCACCTATCCACTCATGCCTAAATCATAGTTCCTGCAAACATAAGTAAAAAATCATTTTGAAACATCAACTATTTTATTTTATAAGCAAATAAATTTTGAAAAAATATTTTCCAAAACCACTTACCAATGGGAATTCAAGAACGTCATGGGAATACATAATAAGTTAACTTATTATAATGGGCATATTGGATTCCTATCTAGATATCCATCATTTTCATAAATGAAATTTAATAACCCCACGTTTTAAGCTGTGTAATGCTTGCTAAGAAAACTTAATTATCATATCAAAGAATAGTAAATTATCAAATCAGAAATGACTAATATCATCAAGTCGAAGGAGCCATGTAATAATTTGAATTTTTTATGTCTTCGGTGACTCGTCCTAATTAATCCAAATACGATCTAGTGTTACACACATCACAATGCGTGCTTATGACATGCACTCGGGGATCCCTATTTTCTGTGGTTGAGATTACCAACCACCACATCTCACATATCGGTGTCATGCATAATAACATTTTATAACAAAATTATCCTTTATTGGTTATAGGTTAAACACAAGTTTAAGAAATCCTTAAGTTAGATCATATCTTTAAGCAAGTGACCATTACAATTCATGATCTAACAATATAATTTTTAAGGATAATATAACAATTATGAAAATAATACCTAAATTATATGTGCAACAATTAAATCTATATTAATACTTAAGAATATTACATAAAGTATATTAAATGTTGAAGAACATATTATTATCATTACAGCAAATATCACTATCTGTTATAATTGGAAAGTGATATCTTCATTGTTTAAAGAGAATTGGAGGACATCATTGCCTCAGACAAGAAAAAGAGAGCCCAAAATCAAATATAATGTACCGTTTGGAAAAATGGTTAAGTGAGGGGTTAAGGAGACTTAACTCATTCTTAACCCGTCAAACACAAAAAATCTATACAAGGGTTAAAGTGAGTTAACCCTCCATAATTTGCCAAACATAAAAAATATAGAAGAGTTAAGCTAACCCCTCTAGAGGGATTAAAATTAGTTAACCTCTCAAAATGAGGGGTTTACTAATACTCCTATTTAGAAGGATTAAGAGTTAATCATTCTAATTATAAAGAAAATAGTCAAAATTATTATTATTCCCAAACACTATAACTAATCACAAATGTTAAAATAAAACTTATTTAATGGGTTAATAATTTAACCTTTCATATTAACGAATGGACTAAGTACATTAATCTTTTTTTAACCCATCTTTCTTAACCCTTTGCCAAACGGGAAGTATAAACTCATTATTAAAGGAAACGCTGGTTAGTTGACCAAGAGAGAACTGATTAGGAATATTTGAGACAGTGAAAGTTCGGGAACATTGTCACCCTGTATATAGTCAACACAAGGACAGTACATATTAACATGTTTGCCTTCGTGCTCAGCATTTAGTTTTGAATATGCATTGTTGGGACCCATTTTTTTGGATATTTGCTCTATAACCATTTACCTAATTAGCTGGGCTTCTGATTTTATATAAACCCTAGTTCCTCTTTAGCTAGTAGACATTGTCCTTAGGCATATCATGAGCATCCTAACCTTATATTGTATAGCCTCCTAGACCAAGTGCAATGGCTAACAATTGGGACAATTATTTGATGCAATGGCTAAGCAAGTGGATAGGCAAATGAAAAGTAGGGGAGAGAAAAGGCAAAATTTGCCTACCGGTTAAATTTTACCAAGGGCCTCGCGTGTCAGAAGATGGTTGAGTGATGTGGAGGAAAGATAAAGTGAAAAACTTTTGAAAAACTAGTTGTTGTGGAGTTGAAAGGCAATTGGAAAAGGCAAGTGATGTGGAGGGAGAATAAAGTGAGGTGGAAGGAGAGAGAAAGGTAATATTTGCCTTGCCATTGGAGATGGTCCCAGAATAAACAAGAAGTATTTTGTTTCTTGCAACGCAAGGGTCAACAACTAATATAAAGATTACATTAATTTGACGTGTCAAGA